CTCTAACATTCTGTGATTCTGTGAATCCCATAGAAAGAAACTGCTGCCTCTCCAATATGAGTTCCAAACTGCTGATGGGTGACAGCACGAGGACAGGCTTTGCTTCAGTGGAAAAACTATTGTGGGTGAACTGGAAATTCAGTCTAGCCCATAATAATGAGATTGTTCAGACTTCATATCTTTGTCTGCTGAGTGCACTGAGTGGATGCTTTGCCAGGGGATGTACTGAGGCGTGTGAACGGACTTCTATTAACTTTTAATCATTAACAGCATTTACTGGATATGAACTACCTTCCTGCTTTTTAAATGCTGTTTAGGAAAACCCAGTAGCTCTGCATAACCATTTCACAGACAGTTTCAACTGAAATTTTTATTTATCCTTGAAAATAGGTTTTGCTTCATTTAGTAACATTATTTTATCAATAGGAATAATTACTTTCCCTAGATCTCAACATTTATTTTCACACTCCTGTTAAACGGACAGGCCAAACTTTATTGTTCGAGGATATGTATCATGGAGCAGGAACACCATGTTTTCTGGTCCTCTTCTCCCCATTCATTGCCCCAGTTCTGATTCTGCCCCATCTTCTGCCTTTGAGTGTTTCCAGATTCACAGCACAACCGCCAAGCTTTGCTTTGAGAGAAGAACAGAGGTGTGCAGTGATAGCTAGGAAGCATTAACACTGCCTTAATATTTTTCAGGCTTATTCAGAGGTCTAATTTTTCAGTCATTTCCCCCACAGCTAAGAAAGCACACCTCCGAAGCAGCACTGAGTTAACACAAAGCAGTGTGTCTGCAACAACAAGCTGAAAGTCATGTTTAAAAAGAAAACCTTGATGCACCTGGAATTTGAAGCTGACAGCCCCCTTAATTGTTCTACTTTTGTCAGACATAAGAACACAATGGAAGCCTTTCTTCTCACGCCTCTTCCTAACAATTAATTTTCTAGAAATGCGCTCATCTCCGACTCGCTTGCCAAGCAAAGCCGAAGCCCTACTACACGAGCAAGCTCTGGTGGTGTGGGATTGCCCTCCTGGGGCTTGGAGAGGTGGGCAATTTCACAGCCTACGGATTTGCGCCCGTTGCCCTTGTCGCTCCACTGGGATGCGTATCTGTCATAGGTGAGATGGTTTGCCATTTCTTGCTTGGGTACGTACTTTAATCAAACGCTTGTTTATGGCTAGAGGAATAATAGAGCAGGAACTGCAGCAGGAACCCAAGGGGAAAATGTTCATGTTGTGGTTTGAAAAGAAATTATTCATATAATTATATGAGCAGACAGTTTAACACAAACCCTCTGCTTGACTCAGAGACTCTTCTAACATCGTTCTTTTTTCCGTAGTTTTGTCTTTTGTGTCACTCTGTGCTCTGCCAGTTGGTCACCCAGTACCGTACCAGCATTGCTGGCTCTGCAAGCTCCTGAAGCGGGGGGCTGGTGTCCTGCTGCCTGCACAGAGCTGTGGTCGAATCCCCAGTACCTACAACGTGTTTTCTATGTTACCATCACACCAAGCACTTTCTGCTGCCTGTCCACTGCCCATCACCATGCTTCATGTTGACATGGGCAAACTTGCTTGGCTCTCTGCAGCATGTGACAAAAACTCTAGAAATTTCCCAAAACATTTAGTTTATTCACAGACTTTATCGAAGTTGTTCATTTGTTTCTTCATGTGCAGATTAATTGGACTTTAGCAGAAGTCCTATGCTTAGGACTAATTTGATATGATCTTACTCTTCATGTGTTATTTTTTTTGTAACTAAAGTATTTAGAGGACTAGATCAGGTGTGTAGATGTCTGTTTCTTTGATAAAGAAATATACATTTTAAAATAGGTTGTTATGTTGTGCTAATGCCAAGCAGAGTGGACAGGGCAGTATTGTGCAGAGGCTGTGAAAACAGGAATACAGGGTGCAGCCCTGTGCCTTAATCAAGTTGCTTCATATCCACAGCTGAAACATCTGGGGCTGAGATACCGCAACAGCTCTGCATAGGCTGGAGCTCATTTGCTTGCTATTGACAAGTGATAACATTTCATGCTCTGTCTCTAGCTACCAGTTTCATGCTTGGAAGTGACATTGCAGTGAGTGATTCTGCATGGGAAGCTGCAAAAGATGAATTATCTCCTTGGTGGACTGCCTGGCTGTACTGGAAGGAGGCAGCTAACCATATGTGGGTGCAATTTAGAAAAGAGATAGTGGGGGAAGGAAACGGCAGGCAATTTGCTGTAACCTTTAATGTTAAACTATTGCAGGATTTTGGAGAATGATATATAAAGCCACTGTACTTCGCCAGCATAGGAAATACTTCTCAAAGAATGGAATAAGATATTACCTGAGATGAAAATGTAAATTAACATGACATATCCCAGTGTGATTTTGATGGCAGTAGTTATATTTTTAACAATTGTAGACATTTCCAGATGTCTCTGAACACAAATAGATGTTGTCCAATCTAATTTGTTGCCCAAACTGAATAAAATGCTAATATAGAAAACTAGAAAAAAGAAATGAAAAGCAGTAGGAAGGGAAAAAATTCCTTTGGTCATTAAACTGCTACAAAGAAGAGGTTACATTTAGGGTCCATTTTTATCTGGGCAGATTCCTTCTTCTTTAGCTTTGTAATATGCAAAGAAATTTTGTATTGGTTTCCTCGGTTCTCCATTTCCCCTTGCTTGTAACAAATACCAAGAAACCATTTTCCTAATTGTTATATCTTATCAAAATACTCATACACTTTTTTTTTTTTTTTCAGATTGACCCAAAATGCTTATCCTGGAAGACCCTACTAAGCACTTTAATATCTTATATTCCATTCCCATATATCAGCTGACATTATCCATTTCATAGCCCAAACAATAGAGATCTGAAATTTCATTTAGTCTAGCAAACACTCCCTTAAGGAAGGGAAAGTAAAAATTATGTAGACAGCCAATTGCAACAATAATTGCCCAGTAACACTTCCTAGCATTAGATATTTTCCTGTCTTCTGAAATTAGAGTCAGAGAGAGGGAACACCCTTTTAATTTTAAAACAGTTCATCATTTAGGGCAACGACAAACTGACCAAGACAGATGCTCGTCATCTGCTGACAGCTGGGCAAAGGACAGTTTAGGCAGCAGGTCTTCCAATTTAAAACATCAAGAAATATTTTTCTCATGAAGTTGTGACCTCTTAGGTGGTGGAGGGTGGACTTTGCACAGTCTAGCTGGCAGTTGTTTTGTGGTATTGTTGAACGTGTGTCTTTCAGAAGTTAATTTTTAAAATTAAGAAATTAAACACTTAAACTCCAAATGTGTATCTGAACCCCAAGCCTACCCTTCTGATAAGCAGTTTTTTTACAAATTGGGTGTCAATACATCCCAGGTGGTTAAGAGCTGACTCTCACTGACATTGGGGAGTCAGCACCTGTGGTGTACTGAGGGGAAATGTGCTTTGCAGTGTGTCCAGTCGTCTAGGGGACTCTCTGAAGATCCACATCACTCTGGGTCTGCACAGAAAGTTTCCTTTGCTTGGTAACCAGGGGTTTGGAGGAGGATAAGGCAGGCTGGAGTCTCTGCCCAGAATGGATGTGGGCTGTACCCATCATCTCCAAACCTCTGAGACGGGAAGCGTCCTGGGTCTTAAAATAGATGGAGCCAACATCTATTATGTTCTGCTACCACATTTAACTGTAGCCAACTGAATTTTGCACTTAACCCGGTATCAATTAAATAGTGAAAAGTTTGTGCCTCGTTCTGTTGAGCTGGGTGCTTCTGATGGCTCTTTTAGAAAGAATCCAGCACCACAGACGATGAGTTGGCATGACACCAGTAGATTTTAATTTTTTTTTTCTAAGAATTAAGCTACAGAGGCTATATTTTTCTTCTCACACAGTGGAAGTATTTCTGTGTGTGGTTGCAGTGATGTAAGCTCTGCATCTGTTCAGGGTTTTAAATAGTTTGAGAAGACAGCAGTTGTTTTCTTCAAGAGGAGAAATTGGTAGTTTTTTAATTTAAAAATGGAGGAGTAATACATGTCTGTGATCATTAAAAAGCTTTTTATACTTTAAAATTAAAAATCATGTTTTACTCGGGTAATTTTAGGCTGCTCTTGTTTTCAGCTCATTGTCTTGCTTTTGCCTGCAGAAATAGCTTGGAGGGGGTGGTGGTGGTGAGGAGAGGCCAGTGGTATCAGAGATCGTTTCTTCTGCAGTTTTCATCATTCTGTAGAGAGTTGGTTTACACTTAACTCACTTACACTGACATTGTTGAGATCCCTTTGCACTTATATATATGTTCCTTCTAAATAGCTGTGGGGCAATAAATTGCTTTAGGCTTTGAAAATTGATATCCCTGATGGTGCTTTAGGAAAAAGATTCTCAGATATTCTTGCAGAAGTTGGTTTCTCCTACTCAGTGTAATGTAACATCTTTGTGGCCCAAGAACTTGGCATTTTGGGAACTCTTACTAATGACAACTGGGAAACATTCACCAGACTATTCTTTAAGATACTTGTTTAGACGATGCAACAAAAGGATTTTCAGGGTTCTTCCTTCCCTCTGCAGTATGTCCTAAAATCCAGTTTCCAGAACTAAGCTCACCTTAATGGGCTCTCTTTTGAGCAATTCCTCTTATATTTGGCTTGTTCGTTTATTAGGATGTTGTCATTAAGGGTAAGTAAAAAATTTTCTGGTACTTTTCCAGTGCTAATATTTAATCATGTTAGAAATGTTACATGTTCAGGAAGCAGAATAGCTATCAAGAGGTCTTGCACCAGCTGGCTAAATTCTGTAATATCTTCCTTTGTATTTAGCAGACCATTAATACCTATCATATAAACTAAGAATAGGTATGAGTAGTTAATTAGCTGTGACGAATTTCTTCCCAGATGTCTTGGTCAGAGCTGGCTCTCTGTTTAACTCTGCTAAGCACGCAGATATTCTTTAATTTTCTCCAAATTTGTGTTAATCCTCCCCAACACACAGCTCTGGCCTTGAAGGAGACCCAAATCCCACCAGGTCTAAATGCATCCATCCTCCTCAGACCTGAATTGTCTACCCTGTCTACCACAAAATGACCCACAGTAGGGCAGCAGACTGGTTTTCCTTGAGCTCTGAGACGTAGGCAGGATAAGATGAAGTAGGTTTTAATCTAACAGTCTTGAGGCAGGGAGATTCTCAGTCATGAATCGTCTATGTGTAGGCTCCACTGTGGAGATGGTGCTACAGGCACCCAAAGGCAGCTGTGACTCATCTGTCAGTGCCTGCGGAGTGCACGTGGACCTGCTTGTTCCAAGACAGCTTTGCTACCAGTTGAGCTTAATAGAACAAACATTCGAGGCAAATATTAAATTTTGTGTCTTTATCGGAAAACTACTGGACAAGACAAAAGCAGCAAAAACAGTCTATGTATTTATGAGGACAGTGATAAACTATTTAAAATAGTACATAAAGCTAATCTAGGACTGGAAAAGAGGAAAAGGAAGGATATAATAGTATTTAGAGTTATGAACACTTATTAAATTATTTAGGGTACATTTATTTAGGTACATGTATTTAGGTACAACAAAAATAGAGGTAAAAAAAATAAGATTCATAAATAGCCTTGGTACCAGGAAAACAATTTAATAATTCAATATACTTATTCGTGAAATAGTTTTGGGTAGGGAAAAATAAGTGGTGGATGCTCTTTCATTTGAGTCTTTTAAGGCTGGATTGCACAAAATGCAGAAAATACGTACGTATTTCCTATCTTTAACTTTTCTTGCTGTATATTAACCCTTTCCTGAAGAAACAAACAGGGAACAATGGTAGCTGCAGCTTTCGTGTCTAGGAGGCAGGGGAGTTGTTTTGTGAGCTGGGTTCTCACCATTCAGTGTCTGCTAGTGGCAGAACCCACATACCAGAGTACTCTTTATTTCTGTTTGTGCTGGAGAAAGCCTACATATGGAGATAATCACACACTATCACTCTCTTAGGAGAATCAGTGTCTGACTAAACTACGTGTAGCACCATTACAGCCCTCCCTTAAGGCACTTAATTGCATATCATGCAGAAAATGGACATTTTCTACAAGTTTTTAAAATTTAAATTGAAAATTACATGCTTCAGTGAATATATATTCATTCAATATATAGTGAATATATATTCATTCAGTACAAACCAGCCTGTTTTATGCTGATGAATGAGAAGACAAGGTTGTTTCAGCATAACAATTAAGTTCCTGAACAAATTAATTTTTCCCCATTTTCTACCCAACAGTTTTTGTTTATCATGATTTTGATGTAGTGCCAAGTCATAATATTTTTTTTTCATTTGAAATACTGTGTATTTCCAGATTGAAGAGTTTCATAAGCCTTCAGAAAGGCTCTGTCATACAGATACAGATATTTTATAGCACCTATTTACTTCTCAATATGTGGATGTTAATATAAGCGTGATGCAATCGAGGCACAAAATGAACTCAAGGATTTCATTAGGATGTGTTTTGATTTGTAAAGTTGTCTTTTCTCCACGCTCAGTTTTGTAGCGTTCAGTCCTCAACAGAACATCTCCCAGATTTTCTGCCCTTCTTTTGATCTAGCAGGCTATCTGCCTCCGCTCTCAGTGGGAGGAAGATCTGTGCCTAGTTTTGGAAGTTTTACATCGATAATTAGTTAAAAAGCTAAAAATGTCCCGATTCACCCCAAAGTATGCAAGTCTTCTCAAATGAACAGGGATGCAGTCTTTGCCTCAGTGACTTACAGGCTGACAGTTCGGGCTTAGAGTTGTGCGTGTGTCATATTGCTAAAACTAATGGTTTAAAACCAGTGAGGCTTCAGAAAAATAATAAATTGCTTCTTCTGTTGCCACGCTGGTGTTGCCAGCTTACACTTTGACACCACTTTTTTGATCGCATTTCTGGGTTGTTGTATTCTATTCCTTACCAATTAAAAAAAAATCAGAGACTATTCCTCACTCTGATACAGATCTCGATCTCTGTCTATAGCTTTTTAAAAAACCCAGGCAAACAAATGAACAGTTGATAAGACATTAGTATTTTTCAGCACAGCGATTGCCCAAGTTCCTCAGTCTATTCATTCATAGAGTTGAACATAATGTTCAGTGATTTATCTCCCACCTCAGTTTAATGGTGTAGGAGGAGGAAGCACACAGCTTCTGAGAGAGAGGGGGAACAAGAGGACCCTGGTGTGGGAAAGGGAAAATTTGGGCTGGGTGGTAGGCAGTTAGACTTATGCTGCAGTGACAGGGCAAAATCAGGGTGAAGAGGAAGCTGTCTAGGAGGTTGTGGGGAAGGAGCAGAGCACAATGGTTTTGACAGAGCTGCATTTAGGTGCTCAATCTGGGACACAGTAAGGGCTTTAACTCCTGTATCTATCTGGTGGGCTTAGCTGCAGCCTCTGGCTGGTCTCTTCTGCCAAGGGTTCACAGGGTCCTAGGGTAACTCAGGCTGGAAAGGACCTCAGGAGGTCCCTAACCCAGCTCCTGCCCACCGCAGGGTCAGCTTGGAGGCTGGCAGGCAGAGAGGACATGGTGGGGGAATGTGTTGGCCATCCAGCACATTGTCTTAAACTGCCTTTTCTGGAAGAGTTAATATCTTAAATGTGGCTAAATGCACCTGAGACCATGAGCTGGAGCCCAGAGGAGTTCAGGAAGAGCAGCTGTGAGGGCTGTGCAATTCTCCCTGGGATCCTGGGGTACACTTTGGTGCCTGCCGTTTGTCTTGCTGGCCAGGGAAAGCTGCAAAGCCAGCAGAAGGCAAAATGAGCCAATGCCAGCTTGAGCTCCTGCGGCTCACAGGTGCTCTTTGTACCCGTCCTCCTCTGGTCCATCGTTTCCCGTGAGCCACTGTCTGCGTCGAGCCAATCTGCCCTTGCTTTTCTTTGATTTAACCTGTTTCAAACCCACCCTACAAATTGAAGAACATAAACGACTATTTAAAAGTCAGATTTACGGAGCTTAAAATCCAGAAAATTAACAAAATAAAAATAAAATTTAAATATTGTGTTAGGCAGTGTGTAATAACAAGGTACTCTCTTGGCTGTGCCACCATAACCTGCTTAAAATTCAGTCCTGAAGGTAACAGCAGAGTTTGCAGGCTGCTGATCCTCTAGCATCTCATCAGTTCTGCTGCTTTCTTTAGATTTACCCCATTTGCTTTTCTTCTTCACCTGAGTGCATGTGAAGTGTTGGTGGCTTATCCACAGGGATAGTTGTCTTTTGTGTTCAGAGTCTCTCCTGGGTCTCACTGTCTTCATCTTTGTGTTGCACCTCCTCTCCTACTTCAGTTTTTCCTCCAGTCCCAGATGGCCTAATATATTTTCTTAAAACCTCTCCTATTTTTAGATTCCTCTACATATTGCACATCATAAAGAGCATTAATTATACATACATTCTGCTAAGCTCATGATCTCTTGTGCATTACCAGCTATCTCTGGAGAAAGAGCTTGCCGGATTTGAATGCATTATTTAAGTGGATGACAGGCTGAGTGACAAGTTTCATTATCTGGATGCATTCTAGTGCCTCCTTGTGCCCACTGCCAGCCTCCGAGACCGTGATCGCCCAAGTTGCCGTTTATCATCTCCAGACAACTACGCAGCGGAATTTTGACCATAACTTATCTTGCCCCAAACTGGATGCCAACACTGGAACTGAACCCTAAATTGCATTTGCTAGATCTCCACTGAATGCAGAGAGCCCAGACAAGTGGGTACCCCCCAAAAAAATAATCACTGAGGCATCAGTTCATTAACTGACAGATCTTTGCTGTGACAATAACTGCCTAGGTGTGTGGGCAGAGGTGGGGTTTGGGAGAGCTATGACAGCAGGGAAACAGAACAGTAATTAATTCCTGCACTATCGTAGGTTGCTGGTGCTTCTTTCCTGGTTTTTGTCCTCTCTCTTTTCTAAACCTAGTTAGCTCTGTTATTACTAGTGTTGCCTGGATACCAGTGTCTTTTCTTCTGCAAAGTTGTCACTGAAACATTGAATAAAGAAAACTGTGCCAGGCAGCTTACTTTCAGTGAGGTGTTTTCAGTTGAAGATTCTTTTATTGTACTTATTCATTTGCATAGATCTCCATCACTCTTGATGCATTTTAAATTTATGAATTTTGCTATATCTGACTTCCTACTGACTGGATAACATGGACATGATGCTGTATTCCAGTTTCCTGTTTACCTCTTGGTATGAACCTTTCTAGATTTATCTGGAGTACATCTAGTAGCTAACCACAAATTAATTTTCCATCAGAACAATAGAGATAATGAGACTAAGATGGCTGCAAAAAGGTTAAACTGCTATTTCAAGAATAAACCGTGAATTTCATGCTGTAGGCAGGAACAGAACTCTTGTAACAGCATCCCACGATTTAGGTCCAATGTGTCCATTCCTGGGCAGAGTCTTGGAGGTTTCTAAATGAATCTAACACTACTGATGCACCCCTCCCAAAGGCCTTTCCTCATCTTCTTACATAAGAGCTATTCAGCCTCTTTTGCTTCTCCCGAAAGGTAGATGAACTAATGTCGTGTACTGGAATAGAGCCGTCTCCCAGGTGGCCAACAGTCTCATCCATCTTAAATCCAAACCCCTTCTTCCCTCTCTAGCACATGTCCACACTGAGCTGCTTACCAGGAATCCTGGCCCGGCCACTGCTGCTCGCCCACCCAAAGAGGCAGGGCTGGGAGCTGCCAGAGGGTAGGGGCAAGAGCTGAACAAGTGAAAGAGTTGCCCAAGGAATAGGAGGTCATTTCCATGGTTCACTTCCATTTTTCTCCTTCTTCATTACAAGTCACTTGGTATGACTACAAGTGCTCCTGTATGATAAATACTTTGGTTCATCCACCTGCTTGTTTGCAGACATGATGACAGCTCTCTCAGTTCATACAAAATACGATGCTTGTGCAGTGGCTCTCTTCCTCTGAATGGTACTGCTGCTACTTTACTTACAAGTCTCCAACACATTTAATGTAAAGAAGCAGACTTTTATCCCACTCTGAGGCAATTTGCCCTGAGTGAGTTGGTAGCAAAATGGGGAGTGAAACGTTAAGGCTGATTGGTGCCCAGCTTTCCCGACACTTCCATGAATGACTGAATCGGAGCAGTTGAAGAAGTGTCTGCGTGGGAGACGGGAAGGGTATTGCATCTCTTCAACCATGTAATAGCCTGCTGGATGTGTTTGAAATCTTACAAGAACTGAGGGCTGGTTGGTTGCCGGAATGGACTCCTGGGTGGTTATATCATGGTATGGTGCAACAACAGCCATGAGATATATTTAAACTTGGCCCAGAGCAGCTTTGTGCTATAGCACCTGATGTTCTAACAAATATTTTTAAAATTCTTTATCTTTCTGTTCTAGGTACTGCATTTATTTCTGTCTTATTCCTAAAGAAGACCATGAGGGCTGCTGATATATTGGGTAAGTAAGCATTTGCTAATACAGACATGTGTGTCGCCATATGCTTAGCAAGCTGTAACTCTCACGTAGCCCCCCACCTTCACACTCCCACTTCCCTGAGCAAGTGTTACAAGGCAGATACTTTCAAAATTGGGAAGAAGTGACAAAAAGAGAGAGAATCTTTAACGCATGTGGAGAAGACTGCATTCCCAAATCCTCTGCTCTTTTAACCATAACTCATTCCTTATGTGTCCTTATTCCTCAAATTTATTTTCATTGTCTATTTTTGCCTCTGAGGTTGTATTTAGTATTATCTTTATGAGTACAACACAATTTGAATAAAACCAATGAAGTTATTGAATTATTCATTCAAGTATAAGGATTCTTTTTTTCTTACTGCATAGATATTGCACAAAAATTTAAGCTCAATTAAAAGTGACAGCTTCCCTTTTGGTATTAATTTTATTGCTTCAGAGAAAAAATAATCATGTCGTCAATGGTTTGTTGGGAAACATGGTCTTCACTGTAAAAGCATGTCAAGTTTTTGTCTGTGTCCAAGATTTTTTTGCATATCAAAAGTGTTCAGCTTGAACACAATAATAGTGAGAGACAAGCGTATTTCAGGGTTTGGGCTTTACACCAAGCCACCTCAGCTGGGACAGTGCACCTGATATTTCTGTGGGGTTCCTAGCATCTAGGGTTGATTGTCCATACTATAACGAGGACATGCCAACTGTTCTCGTGAATGTTTTGGAGAGATCTGTTCAGTATTGTTCCAGGAAGACTATATAATATTTATTTAGCTTTGGGATCCAAGTTTGACAGCTCAGCGGCTACATTCAAAAATCTCCCCTCCCTTGACTGATCATGTTTCCCTTATGGCCTTATACATTGTGTGTTTCTTTAACTAGTGTTCAAGCACTGATTTATTTTATTTCTGTGAGTTCGACTTTGCAAGAAGGATTTAACAATGTTGCTACATTCCATAGGAATGAGCTGTATGATGGGAAATATGGTGATGTTTTTGCAAGCACATAAATATAGAACAGTTCTGCTTTTCCAAAGGAACTGTGTGCAATAGCAGTGCCAGCAAAGTCCTCCGGATGTGCTTTGTTTTGTATTCCTGAGCCTTGTATTCCACAACGATTTCTAAGTTTGCCAAGAATTTTAAAGATTATTTGCAAAAAAAAAAAATTGATTAGTTAATATCTTCCTTAATCCAATACAGTTTATGAGCTCAGGATCAGCTCACTTCTATCTCGATACCTCGATGAACATCTGTGTTTGTCAGCTGGCTGTCCACAAGGCAGAACTTCCAGATTTTTATTAAAAGCACAGTAATGCAAGTTTGACCTTGAAAAGGGGCCCTGGCAACCTAATGGCTGAACAGCCTTTTGCAAGTCAGCCTTTTATAAAACAGTTCATAGGTCTGCAAATACAACAGGGAGCGGCCAAAATGTTGGCTTCATGACAGCTTCACAGGAGCATTGGACTGGAACGTATCTGCTGCACTTAATGTTTCCACGGCAGGTCTGTAGCTGGTGCAGATCTCTGGCCACACTGACTTTGGGAGAGCTGTTTTTATTTACACCGTTTAATGATCTAGCTGTCTGACTTAGTAAGCAACTTGTCCTTTCCGTTTAGGGTAAGTTTGTGTGACCTGCTTTGTGCCTGTGGGAAAGACAGAGGATCTGTTCTCCCTTGTCATGCATTTGGTATTAGAATTGAGAATATTTGAAAATGCACTGCTGACTGGGAACCCTAATTCGTGAGGCTTTACTGACAGCTTTTTTCATATTTCCAAAATCCTTTGAGTCTTTAATAAAAATTACACTAGATAAGACCACAAATGCAAGGCAACCTGAGTACCTAAGCACAGATCTGATTAAACAGACTTACTTTTTCTTCTAGAAAGAATTCAGCTGGAGAGCAAGGATGGCCATGATTAACAAATACTGTATTACTAAAATAATGTGTCCTTTTCTTTAAAGGAGGAACACTGACAGTAACAGGGACATACTTGTTGGTGACATTCTCTCCCAATGTACCCCAAGAGCTCACAGCAAGACAAGTACAGAATTACTTGGTGAACTGGCCTTTTTTGGTGTATTTGGTGAGTATCTGGTTCTAAATCAGAAAAACTGCGGCTCTTGGGCTTTTTGCAGCACTATATATTAGTAGTAGAAAAACTGCTCCTGAAGATAAATTGTGTAATTCTCATAGGAGAGAGAGATCAAGTCTCTGGCTCATCATGCCAGTCCCCAACCTGAAAATAGGCTGAACCAAAAGATGGGTTTTGAACTACGCGCCAGGGGAAAGCCACATTTGTGCAGGATGGAAGGAATTGAAAGATTTGGGGTTTTGGTGAGCTTGAGGGAAAACCTAAATATTGGTACTGCTTTTATTTCCTATGCATGTGTTCATGCCACACTATCTGCATGGACATGTAAGTTACAGTGCTTTTCTGGAGTGTGATGGATTTGTGCTTTTAAAAATCAGGCTATCTATGCTCTTGGTCCTGCTTTTTTCTTTCATATCACTCTGTTTTATGCCCGTGTTGCTAAACCTGGCTCAAAGGAGGTTTGTGTGAAATTGAGATGTGGAGAAGCAGCTTGTGTCACTGCCACACAGGTTAATCTGAACCCGAGTTTGAATTCAAATACAAAAATACCATTTTGATTGGAGTATCTGTATACAAGCTCCAAATACCATATGTCATCTTTGATGTACTTAATTAGCATCAGGAACAAGACCAGAGTGAGTAGGAAGAATTTCTCTCTTTTTTTCTCTGGAATGCTGAAAATTTTTTCCTCCAGCTGCATGTAAAAGATGCAATAAAGGAGCTTTAGAAGCAGTTGCTTTTTTCTCAGTAAAGTGATTCACTTGGGTTAGACTATTAGTGCCCAGGCTTTTCTCAGTAAGAAACTCAGTTAGAAAGCCACTGAGTAGACAGTTTAAGGACCTTAATCTTTTAGCCAGCCTGCAGACTTCAAATACGTCTAACTATCTATGAGGCTACTGATTAAGCAGAAAGTATATCCTCTTGCTAAATTTTTTTGTGCATTTTAAAAGCTCCTGAAAGATGGTGATACAGCTCAATGGGAGAAATTAATGATCATGCTGCATAAATCACGGCATGCACTTTGAATCAGACAGTAGAGAGGCTTTTGAAGGCCATGCCCAAGAGTTTTGGGGTACTCAGTACCGGGAGCTTCAGCCTCAGCAAGAGCTTCAGCAAATCCACATAACCAGCAGAGGGAGAGGAACTTTGTTAGGAGGGGTTTCAGAGCAAGGGGCTTGGTGCTCACTGGAGGACCCTCTCTCTTTCCTACTGAATATCCCCCTCTGCCATGCAGTTCTACCTAGAGATACTAAAACAGCCTGGGATTTTAGGCACTGCTTTTAAACTGCTGACTCACCCGGTTGTGTAGAGGTGGTGGAGGGAGAAAACTGCCCATACATGCCCAGTGACACCTGAAATTTCTGTGCCATATGCTGTTCACATTTGCTTAAAACCAAGAGGTTGCTGGAAGAGGGCTTTTCCCCATCTGAGGACTTTTTTGACTTTGTTTCAGGTAAAGTTAATAAGAATACAGTTGAATCCCTAGGAAAACTGTGCTGTATTCTTCTTAGGAGATATTATGAGGAGGTGGTAGGTAACCCCCGGACTTTCTTTCCCCTCTTCTCTCTTTTCCCTGCCACAGACAGCATCCAATTCTACATGTACAGCATCGGTTGCAAGGAAGGATGGAGCAAGGACACAGCAAATCTTGTTGACTCAACAACATATCAAGCTTTATTTGTTTCTCCTGCTCCCTAGATTCATCTGTTTTGAGCTTCCTCTGCCCAAAGAAGGGGAGGAGTGAAAAGCTCCACAAGAGACTCTGAGATACCAGCCTGATTACCCTGGTATGCTGCTGGAAGTTCAAATAAACCCTGCTGGAAACATTCTCTTTGGGCAGGGAACTCGCTCTTCGTAACTGTTTGTAAAATGCCTAGCACAGGTTGGCTGCTGAGATATAAAAAAGCACAGCAGAAGTTGCAGAATTTCCAGTAAAAATACACAGCAAGGAGACAGTACAGCAGTATAATGCAGTCCAACAGCCTTTCTAAAAGTAGCCCTGAAGTGTGGTCTGCCGAGAAATACAAAGCCCCAGTGGTACAAAATGTTCTGTGTGGGTGATAAACCATCCCCATGTGCACTCCACTAGCATCACAGGAGTTCTGCAGAAATAGCCTAGCTCCCACTTGAGACAACTTTGAGTCACCTTCTGAGACTCTGCAGTAGCATAATCACGTCTGAGAAAGAATGACTATCCTAGCTTGGGTTTTTTTCTGTTTTGCTTACGTGCACTTTGAGCCACTACAGAAGATATCAATTATAGATGAAGCTCTTAGGTTTCCCTAAACAGAAGTGTAGTGAGTATTGGGTTGTTAATATTTAATCTCTGTAAAATCAGGTTCAAAGCATTTCTGCTTTTCCTTCAAAGTGCCTAGAAGACCCTACTGGTTCACTGGTCCCTATGTTGCTGTATATCACAGAAAAACTGTTGAGGCAGACAATATGATTTTTTTATTTTTTTTTTTGTTCTAGTGCCTTCTGGTAATGCTTAGAAACTTGGAAAATACCATGATTATAAAAAAAATGTTGATGAGATGTGGGCTTGAGGAGACTTCAGTAGAGATTAGTTATAATAGCAAAAATGATTGTAAGCAGGTCAAGTTCCTTCAATTCCTCTGAACGGAGTATGTGAAGCTGATATAATCTACGCACTTCCCATTCCTGAACTTTGTATTTAACACTACTGCAGCTATCAACTACGAGAGCAAGCACTCTTTTGGGTAATTCTCAGGAGACAATCGTAGGCAACAGCTGTGGCACCCCAGGAGTGTTCCAGGTCTGCGTGAGGTCCTGAGGAGCCACGCACCGTGCTTGCAGTGTGACCCAATCTGATGGCCCCTCCCTTGCCTTGTGATTGAAAGTGACCTGTTGGTAGGTCACCAAATGGCAGAGAACCATGGAAGAATAGTTTGGCTGCTAGGCAGCATGAGGTCAGAATTAATTGTCTGAATTTCATGCTTAGTATGCGAGTCTTGACAGAACTGACTTAACTAACAGCCCCGAAAAGCAAACATCAGCTCTCTCCAGGTTCAGCCACAGGACTGCCACCACCCTACACCACTGCTGCTCTCCAGGCTGCCCCAGGAGGAAGAAGCAGGCAAGCAGACAGACCTGTGTGCCCCTTCCAGAGCTGCCATCAGGGTACCTTTCATGTCCTTCTGATGGTTTTGCTTGGCTGTTTCCTTTCAAAAGTGAAGCTTCTTGCTGGGTTTGTTTGCTTTGAAACAGAAGGAGATGGCAGTGGAGTTTTATGGTGGCTTTAGCAAGAGGAGAGCTGATGAGAGGATGAGGACCGAGGAGGGCTGATAGAGCCAGCATCAGTGACTTGGCTCAGTGGAGCTCGGTGGTGCTCAGCACTACCTGCCACCCTGGGAGTCAGAGTGAGGTGGAAGAGGGAGTGGAGCACCAGAGCCGGTGTGATGGAGTGGCGTGAGCCAGCAACTGTCACTAGGCTTGTTTTGGGATGATTGTTCTTGCAGAGTTTGAAATCTAAGTGACAGGGCAGATGATGGTGCTTCCCTCTGCTGGCATTGTGACTGAGGCTGGCTAGGGGATATCAAATGAGCCAATACCTGAGGTGTAGCTGGCTGATGACAGCAGGGCTGTCTCATGGGTTTCTGCACACTCTGTGGCAACTAGTCCAACGGAGTTGGTGATGGGTGCTCAGGTTTGCACTGGGGGGGGGGGAAGCATCTCTCACCTGGTGTCATGGCCCCATCCCAGTCATACCATACTGTGTGCAATTGTTCACTGTCAAAATAGCAGCTGAAGGTATTTGGAGGCTGTTGTAGCTGCAGCCTGGTAATGCAATATTCCCTTCTGGCCCTAAGATGTGTTTGCCAGTGGCATGAATAGTGAAGCTGCTACCTTTACTTGCCCTCAAGTTCCCTCAAAACCCTGCCATAGTTTTCCACAGGGAGGCCAAGATGAACTTGAATGTCTGCAGATCTTAACATGACTTCTGCCTTGGTTCCTGATTTAGACATACCTAGGTTTACACTGTTGTAACATCTGGGGAGGCTGGCCAAGTAATTTACTGTGTGGCTGAGGCAAAGGCTTCTTTTCTTCTGCTTGGTGGCCTGGCTTTCACCTCTGGGTGGATGTCTGGGGAGGGATGCCACTTTGGAGGGAGATGACACCAGCAGTCCACAAGAGATTGCGAAGATTATTAAACAAAGATTAGTCCAAGAACGCTTTTTTTTTTAACTAACAGGAAAATGCTTTATTCTATTCAACACATTTTACCAAAAAAAACCCACTTTGCTTTTTTTTTTTTTAATCTTGTGACAAATATTTGACTTTTTTAAAGAAAGGTGGTATAAAATCCAAATTTATGTTTGTAATATTCTGAGATGCAATTTTCTCTTGGTTATCTTTGGGAGCAAGGGATAAATGTGAAAGTAAATAAAAAATAAATTAAAGCACAGTTATGTTCTGTTCGTATTTTTGAACATTGCTAAACTGGTGGAGGTGTGAGTGTGGTAGATACTTTTACTGTATCTGAATGTAGCTGATGGCTGTTTTCCTGATGCAGTCACTCTCCAAAATAAGAAACTGTCTATGTTACATTATATAACCACTGCTAGTAACTGTTCAGTCGCTGCTTTGGAAATTTCATCAGCACAACGCCCAGGTGTTCTTTAATCTAGTGCTGCCTTATGGTGACTGTTGGTTTAAGAGTGGAGTGGCATAAAACGTAAAATAGTATGTTGGTGATGAAACCAAGGAGATAGACATGAGGTTTTTCTATGACTTGTTTTGTTGGTTAAAATGACAATAACCAGATTCAGTAATGATGACAATCTCATTTTCTGTCTTATTTCCCTCATTTGATTACTTTCCAACATGCACAAACAAACTTCTCTTTCTCCATGCCGTGTCTGAGGCTACCAGGCTTCCAAGCACCTCTCAGTGCTGAGGTCCGTTGTCTCTGTTTTCATAAGTCTTCTGGGCTTCACAAAAGCTTTTTGGCTCTTGCACTTGGTGGTCTCTTTAGGCGTGGAGGGGCATTTGGGTAACTGCCTTAGGCTGTGGGTGGGAGGGAGAGTACCCATGCTTTTGAGATGCTGTGACATGGAAGTTGTCACCCCCTGGAACAAAGAGACACATTAACAGAAGTCAGTAAATGTAACTGCCTGCCATTTAGCTGCTGGGTATTATTGAAGGAGCAAGTTTGGACCATGCACAGTGTGTAGGTGAAGCTGCTTCAGCAGATGCAGATGTCCTGCAGTGTGGTCTGCTAGTGTGTCGCTGAGCTTTTCAAGGTAAGCTCCTGCCAGGTGCCTGTGATTTGAGAACCACTATATGAAATAAATTGTTTCCTCCTTACAATGTATGGCAGAAAGTTTGAACAAAACGACAGTGTTTGGGGGGATTTTTTTTAGTAGGACTGGGGAGAAAGGCAAAAAGGGCAGTAAAAATAAGCTTGCATGTCACAAAGAGTGACACTAGGAATACCATAGGTAGAAGGAGAGATTGCTCTTCCTGCAGGTAAGTGCTTTACTCCATAGGAATTGTAAAGAGAATTTCTGGAAGAATTATTACCAATAAATATGGGTATCTTTGCGGTCACATTAAAAAAAGTCAATGCTACCAGTGACAAAATATAGCTAGAAGCACAAAAGAAAAATGAAAGAAATAAGAAATGCTCAAGGTTTAACTTTTGCTATAATAGGAAAGAAAAATGACAACAATTGTTTGATAGCTCAGTCAACTGGCAATAAGGTTAGTTTGTAGCAGAAGATTCTTAATAAAGTAATGCTCCTTTGAACTCTTAGAGCCGGGAAAATGAATGTGACATCTCAAAGACTTTGAATGAAGCATTTATTACATAGTTTCACAGCTCTAATTTCTTCCCTTTTATTTTCAGATCTTAGAAATTATAATATTCTGCATTCTCCTCTATTTTTACAAAAGAAAGGCTGTGAAGCACATCGTGATTTTGTTAGTGATGGTAGCACTACTGGGTAAGAACGTATTATTCACTTTAATATTCCTGTCTGTTACTTGATAATTTCTTGTCCCTCAGTCTCCCCAGCTAGTTTAGATTAGGGACATTTCAAAGCAGTGTGCTGAAGGAGAATCATTGAAACATTTCACGTCATTTTTACTGTGGTCTCTTTTTGAAGAGAAAAGCCGATTAGGAAGCATAGTTTCTATGGTTATTGCTGGGACTATTTCTTTTTACAGATTTCCTGAAAATAATAAGCTCTGTGCAATGGTATTCTGAAGTTTTGGTTTTTTAAATAATACTTTAGCTTTAGATCTGGGGAAAGCGGACTGTTTGCAACTTTGTTTTGGAGAGCAGGCTAGCTGTGAAAATCAGTTCTTTAAAACAGAGCAGCCTAAGGCCTTGTAAGTACTTTGTAGGCAAGTGCAGTGATATGCTGTGACTGTATGGGAATTTTTCTTTGAATTATCTATGCCTGTTTGCATATGCAACATTTTTTTACTTCACCACCTTTCCAGCCTGGGGCGGGTGCCCGGGTGGAGCTGCTGCAGGTGCAGATCTCGGTGGTAGTAGCATAACAAGAACTCATGGGCCACTGAAATTTGCCTTCTGATTAACGCTGCCACAACCAACACCCAGGGAAAAAAGGGAGATCATTTTATCAGGCAGCTTTCAACGAAGCTGAACTTGAATCAGTTTTGAAAAATGTCAGGAGGCGATCTCTGACGCTCCACTGCTTGTAGGCATAGATCAAGAATTTGTCACCACCTCGTGTCTTCTCCTTATCTCATCACCATGAAATCCTGATGGGACGCCACATTTCTTTGGTTGAAGTGAAAAGGTGCTTGAACTGTACCATTGAAGGCAACGATAATATTTTCACCGAGTTCAGTGGCTGCATGTATTGACCTGCAAAGACTTATAAAACACATTCCTAATGGGGGGGGGGGGCAGGTCATGAGTGTCTTGGTAAAACAGAATCTCACTAAGGTTTGCCAGTTATACAATTCAGATTTAACCGAACGTGAAAAACCCTCACAGATTTATTCACTGCTTTCCTTCAGATCCCAGCCGAAAAGCTCAGACTTCCAGGTCAACTTTTTTGGGACAGTCTTCCCATTTCAGTTTCCCAGCATTAGGAACATTAGGACCTGTAGCACTGCAGAAGCCTTGAAGAATTTCCATGCTCCCTGCATGAGGCAGAGATGGAAGAGTCCCAAAAGCTTTAGGTCTAACTGTTCTGCTGCTCTTGATTTGGAGGAGTGACGGGTGAGTCCAGCCATCCGTCAGCTCCTAGCATGGAGCCTGGGAGCTTTGGCAGAGCTCGCCTGAGCTGCTCTGCAGCTTCCAATCCTGCACGAGGAGCAGGTTCAGCCTCCTTGTTGTACAGCTGGAAGCCTGAAGATCCCCAGATGGGCTTCTGCACTTGAATGCTGCAGTTCTGGGAAGAACCCCCCAGGATGGCTGCTGCAAGCAAGGTCAAGACATGGCTCCGGGAGACCTGGGCCATTGGGCTGCGTCGCCCCGCGTGCTTCTCTTGCCATGGAGCCCGCCAGCTCTGGCCCCGCCAGTGCCAAAGGGACGCATGGAGCTGCTGAACAGCAGCACTGCTGCAAACCCGTGCCCCAGCAGGCAGTAACGGCAGTTTGGTGTCAGGCGACAATCAACCAAAAATAACAATTTCAGCTGGTGGCTGCTGAGGTTTTGGTGAGCATACGCAGCTTCATGAAAAATGTGTCATTATTTCTGCTCTGTTAAAAAAGACACAAACAAACAAATCCTGGTTCATGGGAACATTTGAAATACTGGCATTTCCCTTGAGCAGGAAACCCAGAACTGTGGCTGGCTCTGGTTCCTGCAGCCATCCCGGTGCCTGGCAGTCCCCACAAAGCTCCGTTTGGAGCCTTCTGCTTGCTTTCTGTTGAGCAAAGAGATGGGGAGACGAGGAAGGGCCCAGCAGCTTTGCTCTCAGCTATCTGACACGTGCACTGCCCGTGGGGTCCCTGGCTGCAGGGAGAGTGGACAAGGCTTGGGGTCTCAGTGGCAGCTCCTGGAAGGGGGTTTCTAACCCGTGTCTGCACCCTGGTGGAGGGTTCGTACAGATTTAAGTGATGTGTAGAAAAGTTTCTGTAAAGAGAGGGCAGACTTTATGTTTCACTGGATATGAGAGCTACTTATTATGAAGAAAATACAGAGGTGATCATAAAATTTGCAAACATTTTGCTTAGTACAACTCTGCAAGTTGATTTGGTGAGAATTATCTTACCTCATGTATATACTGGGAGTTATCATAAGTTTGGGGGAAATATTTGAGATTAAAGTGGGATTTCTGAGTTTCCTGCCCTAACAGCTGGAATGTGACATAATTTGTCACACTAGCCTTGGGGGGGGGGGGGGTTCATTCTATCAGAGATAGGAAACCCATTTCCTAGGTTTTGAATCTTATTCCAGGGGTACTTTTAATTAAAAGATTATTCCACACTTAAAAAAAAAAAAAAAAAAAAAAAAGAAACAAAAACCAACAAAAAACCCTCTTATGCTTACTTTTCTGGTTTGTTAAAATTATAAGGGATGGAAACTGCCTTTTCATTAAAAAAAATCTTCAGCAATCTTTATGCTTAGTTGGACAATTAAAACTACTAATATTTACCTGTAAGTGTTCTTTTAAAATAACAACTCCCCCATGTCAGAGTGCAAATGTCAGTTTTTATTTAGGTTGCTTCTTGGGGCTTGAGTGTATTTTTTGGCTTTTTATCATAACACTAGCACCAGTGCAGGCCAGGATTTGACCTCCTCTGCTCACCTCTACTGCTGTGTTTGTTAAACCACTCCACCTATCTCCATAAGCAAGAAGTCAAGTACTTGGTGGAAAGGTTGTCGTGAAAACAGTGAATCTCATGACAGTGAATAGGATCATCACAAGACGTATGTGACTCTTAAACTCCCCCAAACTTTTGGACTTGCTGTAAGAAAAATACTTGCAATCAAAACCACAGCCCTGAATCAATTCTTCTTCCCCCCCCTTTTCTCCCAGCCCTTGGCCTGACCCTTTTGCACAGTGCAGCTCTTCTTGACAATCGAAATTTTGCAGTTATGGGAGGATGAATCAGACATCTGAAATCCAACACTCCTCAGCTCTGGAAGAGGCTGGAACTGGATCCCAGCTGGGGGACAGTGGTCCTGACAATTAATGACTTTTCTTCAAAGGTCATCTCCACGCCCTGGCTCTTCTTATCATTTTTAGTTTCTTTTGAATTTGCTACATTTTACTTGCAGTAACCACAGCCTGCTTGCGTTAGCTTCAACAAGCCGAGAGCGCACTCCAAAAGGAAATCTAAAGTAACTCTTAGCTGACCGGTCAGCTTCTTTTCTAAAAGATGTGTATTGCAAGACTTCTCCAAACTGGAGATGTATTCAAACGATTGCCTGCTGTCTGAGATTTGTGTGTGGTGATGCCATGACGGTGACTTTAGTCCCTGTGGATTGAAAACACCCTACTGAAGTATTTTATTTTGTGGGCTAAAGCCAGGGAATGGTCTTAAGAGCCTGGCCCCTGAAATAAAATGCAGACCCCTGTGTTAGCTGTCTGCTCTCCATACATAACCCATGGGGAGAGTGAGGTGCTTTGTGATGTGATCCCAAAAATCAGCTTTGTCCAGCATTGACCAGCTCCTGTCTCACCAAAAAAAATCCAGAGCGTGAGGAGCTATCTTAGGCTGCTGGTGTCCCGTGCAGGAGGTGTCCCTATTAGGAGGTGTCCCAGCTGCTCTGAACAGATAGCGAGACCTCTCAGACTTCTCCTGAATAATGCAAAAGGTGCTTCAATTTAGCAGCTGGAGCTAAATAAAGTATGTCTGGAAGATGTGGAGGCTGTTGTACCACCTCTGACAGGTAGTCCAGTGTTTAGGGCATGTGCCTAGCAATGGGCAATAGATCTAGTTCTTTCCTCTACCTGAGCTCAGCTTCTCTTATATATATATATACACACACACATACACACACGTACACACACACACACAAGTCCTACCTTGCAAGATTTTATCAGACTCGACTCGCCTCACCCACTCTGGTGAAAATGGGGAAATTTTGGATAGACACAGGGTTGCAGACCTCAGTGCTACAAGAAGTTAAAAGCAAAACACAAAGCACATGTGGATTTAAGGCCACTCTGAGTTTAGGCAGTAGCTTAGTGAGTGTTTATAAAATCACACACTTGGTGTTAGGTGCCCAAATCCTTGCTCAGTGTCTTTTCAGGTGACCAGACCTGTGGCTCTGACCTAGCACCTTCTCCTCCCTCGCTGATGCTCTGAGGTCCCTGCTGTGAATCCTGCCCTGCTAATCTCTCCCTTTCCCTTTCAGCATCGCTGACTGTCATTGCTGTAAAGGCTGTGGCCAGCATGATAACACTCTCTGCAAAGGGGAAAATGCAGCTAACTTATCCTGTTTTCTATATCATGATTATTTTAATGGCAACTTCTTGTGCTTTCCAAGTCAAGTAAGTGAGTTTCTACCTATCTCCTAACCTTTGTACCCATTTATCTGTCAATTTTTGTTCAGTATTTACATTTACTCCCTATCCAAATTGCACTTAAAGGCAAAAAATTCCTAGCAGAGACTTGACAGATTGCCTACACACAATTATATTGTTTATTTAGGCTTTATTTCTCAGTTTATAATTGATTAATTGCCCAGATGCTACCTCTTCTCATTATCACCCTATACAAGGTCTTCCCAAATTTAGTTCTAGTTTTTTTGCACATTTTGAACTCATGAAATGAAATCTATGCTTATGTTGGGGGGGTTTTTGTTACTTTCAGCCACCTTCATTGCTGAATATTCAAATGGACATGTCTACCCTTATTATGCATCTCTTTTCCTCGCTTATGTCACTCATCAGGTCAGAGAGCATTTACCCTGACTCTCTCCCTGCCTCTGTTAAATCTGCATCTTGCACTTTGCTACCCTGTACCTTTTAAGGAAATAGTTAACTTTTGGTGAGCAGGGGACTTCCAAGTTTTCCCTGCTGGCCTCTGGCCCATTAAGTGATTGTTTTATGCTGCCTTTGCAGATTGCTGGGGGTGGCAGCATGGTAAAATACAACTTGCAGCTGAACTCAGAGTCCATTCCCTTTATGCTGGTCCCTCTGCTTCAGGTGCTGATAGCATCATTCAGTAATCTCATCTAGACTGCTCCAGTGCGAGTCTGAGTGTTCACTTGCATGATTATTTTCTGGTAGGAGAGCCAATCCAGCTTTCTCGTGGCAGAACATACCATTCCCCTGTGGAATCAGAAAGTCCATGCATTATTATGCAGTGACTCTCCGTGGCTGACTCAGGAAGTCCCCTGTAACAGATTATAGAGTGATTTACATCTAGCTTGTCTTCACTAGGAGAACAGCTCAGGGCATTTAAAAATAGGAAATAAAAGCTTGGTAAATAGGGAGCTGCTGAATTAACCTCTCCTCCTTGCCAGTTTTTTCTTTCTTTCATTTGCCGGGTCAAAATTAAAACAGAAGTGAAATGTGCCCATTTCATTCCCTGGACTCAGTGTCTCTTTGTTCTCTGTTGGGCGCATTTTCTAACAGAGACAGTGCTGTCAGTCTAAATTTTTCATTTTATTTGTTTCCTCTTGTATTTTATTTGATTGCTGTGTGTTAGCTCAGAGCAGCCTGTGCTGCAGCATCCTCCTGGATTCAATGCTGCACCTTGGTATCACTCTTTTAGTCCCTGTGACCAAGTTTGCTGCAAATGGGAGAAAATAATGAGGTGTTTTCAATGACTTCAAAATCCTGACTATCCTGTGGATATGTAGGATTTCTTTATTTTTAAAGCACCATGGAGACTGTTCAACAGTTGCTAAAATAACCATGCAATTACTTTAATGGCTAAAACAGATCCAAGCTTGGATTTTTACTGTGCACATATATCGTACCAGTGAAACATTTAACTATGGTTCTTTTTATAGGTTTTTGAATACACTCTACAGCCTTCTGATTATTTCTCTTTCAGTCTGAAATGCACCGTCCACATAACAGAGTATCTGCTGGTGCATCTGAGAGTTCACACTCGTGATTCATCACCCTATGTGTAAATGTTGGTCTCCATAGGAGTGGGTTCATTGCTTTGCCTTTTTCATCCCCTGATGCAGGCTGCACAGGCTTCTCTGTGGCCAGTGTCTCAGTCCTGCAGGTTGGTGTGCAGTGTATGCTCCTGTGGTCCTGCATATTCTGGCTCATCATTCTGGGGAGGGTTTGTGTTGCCTTTCTAAGGAGCACAGCAGAGAGTTTCCAACCCAGGGAGCACAGGCTTGGAGCCACCTTCCTGGATTTTCCCAGCAGGACAGTGTGTCTGGGGTACGATTGCATGGATAAACATACAAACAGGTGTTTTAGCCAAGCTGGACTGAGCAGTAGCAGCAATGTGAACTTCAGCAAAGTGAAACAGTTCCTATGAGGACTTGCGTGTTCGTGTCCATGCTGGAAGCACACCCTTACACAACCTGTTTAAATTAGAGCAACTTGTCCCTGGCTGCTCGCAGGCAGCACTGCTTCCAAGAACCAATGCAGATCATAAGCAGTAATATCCTAGCATTCCTCCCTTATCTGCAGCAGACAAAATTTTTCCAACAGTGCTTCAAAGGACTCTCCAATGACAGCCTATGGCCAGAAGGATCCGTGCCAACCTTCTTGCTTTTGCCACTTTGTTTGTACTCTGCAGAGTCAAAACCAGAAAGTAAATTCAATACATGTATGTGTCTGTCCAGGGCTACTTGCTATTGTGGTAAGAAGTGGTCAGACTTGCTGTTAAACTGATATAAAGTGGCTTAACCTGGCTTAAAGTGCAGTGAACCTCTTGTAGGGATGAGGTGCAATAACACTTGTCTTCCAGGTTCCTGAATCAAGCAATGCATCTGTACGAAGCAACAGCAGTTGTGCCCATTAATTTTGTGTTCTTCACCACCAGTGCCGTCATTTCAGGTTTGTTTCTGGCTTTCTGCCTCTACAGAATGATTTTCTAACCATCAGGTTTTCAAGAATTACTGCCTGTGAACATGAACACAAACCGGTCATATTTGTCTTCACAAAAAGAACTTTTTTCCTAAGTGACAGGTTAAATTCTGAAAAATGAGTAAGTTCACAAGTTTTGAAGAAAAAAAAAAAAAATCAAATGCTAACATTTCCAGAATTGATACGTACGGTTTACTCTGCCTTGCTGGCTTACCAGAAGTACCTGCATTTATCCTAGCCTCATCTTGACATCCAGTAAATGCGTTCCCCATGTGCACACCAGCTTCTCCACATCCGAACTGGTAGAGTAATTTTAACAGCCTGGCAAACTACTCAAATGACAACCAGCTGTGTTTCATAGTAGTTAGTGTATATTCTGTTTCAGAAGGTGGAATTCTAGGTTAAGTGAAGGAAATAAAATGACTCCAAAGACCTTTTAAGCATTTAACATTTTATTCTGGGTGAGAACTTTGAACTCAGCGTTGTTAAAGAGGGACTGAAAATCTTGGAAACGGTGCGCAGCCTAAGAACATGAGCAGGGAGGAGGACTAAGATGCTGTATCAGCAATGAGCCAGAATGATCATGTTGTTAGAACATTTATGACTCATTTTAACACACACTGGGGGCTTTCCTGTCATTGCTGTGCAGAAGTTTCTCATGCAGAGCTGCCATTAATAAGAAGGGGAGTTAGCTGCATGCACAGATTGCCTCAGCACCTGTGTTAGAGGAGACCTACACTTTGTGACTGAGAGGAGGCTTGTGCCAAAAGGGGGTTGCATTCTTCTGACCATATGGGGAATTTGGCCTTGTGCCTCCTTAAAAGATCAAGTACCTATTCAGGAATGGCTTAATAGCTTTGAGACTGGATACACATGCATTTGCACCAGGTTAGTTAAACCAGCGTAGGGCTTAGAAGAACAACCTCTGCTGAATCTTGCTGGGGTGCTCATAGAAGATGTCTCCTCTCACGATTCCCCCATCCCAAATTACAGCCTTTGAAGACAGTCACACTTCAGCTGTACTGGTTCACACTGGCGTTTCTAAGCAAAACTATGCTCATCAGTGGTTTAAAGCGAATATACTTGGCTGTGAATTGGGGCAGCTGAGATGCAGATACACATCTGGTTCTGTCACCTTCACTGCAGAGGTGCTAATTCCTGGAAAAGGGGTGACCAGAAAGAGCTAGTGATCCCTTCAGCCAGAAAGATTTGGCAAACTTGGCTGCTGAAGCCCTTAACTTGGTGTAAACATCAGGGACAGAGCTAGTTACCGAAAACCTGTTCCCAATTGGAGTTCGGATGTCCACATGGTCTGCTGGAGTGGCTTAACTAAATCCATGAAGAACCTGTTAGCTACATGGGTACGACTCTGCTTGTGAATAAGACCTTGAGTTTGACCTGCATAAAAACTGTTGCTGACAATGCAAAAAAATACCTGCATCTGTGCAGTTACTAACATCGCACATACTCCAACCTGATAGACTAAATCTTCTCCAGTCCCACGCAGTATCTTCAGGAAGCCTAGGTAACGGAATATGGGCGCATAAAGTGAATCCATCACAATGTATATTCATACCTTATTTGTGATTTTTTTTTTTTTACTCCATTTGAGCATGACACTGCTCCTGACCCTCCCAGCTGTAATTCATATCACTTGGAAGCCAGTCAAGATCTGCAATTCTTGTTTCTGTCACATTCCAGGGGTCATATTTTATCAGGAATTCCAAAGTGCAGCTTTGCTGAGCGTGTTCATGTTTCTGTTCGGGTAAGTATATTGGCCTAAAATCTGCACTAAAGTTTGTACTGAAATGGGATTGCCTTGCGGAATCTCTTCTTTTCTCAGTAAGAAGAAACCCGTCTTGTTATTAAAGTATTATGGAAGAGCCATTATAGTAGGACAAAAGAACATTAAAGGAAAGATTGATGTCTGTGCTTTTGGAGTTTGGAGGCCTGGTTTTGAATCCAAATATGTAAAAATGCGAGACACTTATGAACTACTAATCTCATGGTGGAATGAAATACCAGCAGCATGTGTTCCTCCAGCAGGAAGGAGAAATCGCTGCTCTCCACCGAAGATCATGTTATAGGGGATGCTTTTACAACTGTGAGAAATCTCCTCCCATGTTACCTTCCCCTTGCGTGTCTGGCTGATCTTTGCTGCCAGCAGGCACGGGCAATTACATGAGCTGCCTGCCTACGAGGCACTACTGTAATATCTCTGCCCAACCTTCCTGTGCTGAGAAAGACACCGCATGACTGTGGAAAAGTTCAGAGCATGCTAAGAAGCAATGTTTGAAGAAGGGCCTTGGTGTTGGAGAGCAGAAACGTTCTGCTGGCTACCAGCACTGTAATGGCTCTGGGCACTGGTGACAGTTACCTGATAATGGGTGTGAGATGGTTAAAAGCATCTCCCAGAAGTGCTGGAGAGGTCCTGCCACAGTGTTGTCAGATAAATGGGGCTGATAGCTACAGACATCTTTGTCCTCTGCAGTTGGACTGGAGTAGATGCACACAACTGCTAACTTGCTTGACTGCAGGAAAAGTGACAGAAAATGGAGATGAGCAAATTCAAGCCATGTATTTGGCAGGCAGGAATTAGTGGTTGTGTGTCCAGCACAGAGCTGGAAGGTTTATCCAAGCACAGCAATTTTGCATTGCTCCTGGCTTACAGCTTGCCCCTGAGACACACAGTCAAAGGAGAAAAACAACAGGGATGTTGATTGTCTGCCGCTAGACTGAGCTGTTAATGAAATTGCAAATGCTAGAATGCTAGCTTAGATGCTCTGTGAAGATTTGCTCAGGGATTCAAATGTTGTGGTCTCACACTCACAGGCATTTCATTAGGTATATATTGCTGAAAGTGTCATTTTTGCTGTGGAGCTTTTGGAACAGATAATAAAGCTTCACGAGGCAAAAACTAGACTGAAAGAGAGCACAAGATGAATTTATAGAGCTGCCAGGAAGAAAAGTTTCTTTATAAACTGAGCAGCTTGTGTTTGGAAGTTCTTGCAAAATAAATTTGGAAATAAATTCTCATCTCAGATGCAGTGAACTGTTTCTAATGATACTATGCCACTGTTATTTTGCAGGTGTCTCCTGTCTTTCCTTGGTGTATTTGTAATTGCAAGAAATAAAAAAGAGGAGCATTTACAAATTCCTTTTATTGACTGTGGACATATTCCTGGTAAGTAGGGCTTTTTTTCTGTCTCTCTGTTTGAGATATCAGATAGTGGGATGACTTAGGAGAGTTGAGTCACAAATGTGTTCTAGTCATATTTAATAAATACACTGTTTCTTTATTTTCTATTCCTGATCCCAACAGATTTTTCAAAGAATTTTTCAGAGTTTTTCCAAGCTATTGTTACAACCAGTCAAATGAAAACAATGATTACTGGAGCAAGGAATGTTTAAATGATGGATTGGTGGGGGATTTGTTTTATTAAAATTCTTCAGAGTTGTTGTTTTTCCCTTCTCTCACCCCATTTCCTTAGGACAAAAATTGACAGGCAAAATACAACCAGATTCTCACAGTTCACACTATGGCACTTTGAATAATGAAGACGACTCGGTGAAAAGTCAAAGCTGAAAGAAGAAAAGCACCTTGCATGTCAATTAACAGGAGGAATGCCACTGGAACAAGGATCAGCAGTACCTTTTTGTTGGACATAGTCAAGTATATGTTGAACTCCTGTATGTTGATGAGTCATAGTATTATTTAATCCAACTTAAATTATCCCATGGCTGTCCCAAATGTCTTCTGAAGATAAAGGAAGCCTTAAGAAAAATTAAATAACCATTAATGAAATGGAACATTCTTCTAGTATCAATGCCTCTTGGGGATATTTTTAGAGTCTTAATTGCCTTGAAATGCAAATAGGCACAGAACAGGATTATAAAAATCACCCTTTGAAACTCCTCAGATCTGTGTAGATGCTTAAAGACAAAGGTGGGAAATAAGGAGAAATTTTCTAAGTGATTTCAAAGTATTCTGCTATATGTATAATATACTTACTAAAAAATCTGATCCTTCCTGTTCAGGAGTCAAAACTGTGGGCATATAGACAGTATACACACATGTACACACAAAGTATTTTATATTATGTGTAGAGGGAAAATTCTGATTATCTTCCTGCATCAGACTAATTCTCTTCCAAGAAAATAAACACTTGTGTGAGGAGGGTGAAGAAGAGCGCAGTTGCCATAAACATAGGCGGCGTGTGTGCACATGCACACATTTGAGGTGCCCAGGCAAGGCAGAGAGAGGGAACCACACTTGATGCTTTACATCCTCCCAGGAGAGCCCTCTGCACTGGGCTGGACTGGGCTGTGCTATACTGTTAGTATAGTCTAGCCTAAGGTTTAGCCTTTGTTTCCAGGAAAAGTGAAGAAAGTGCAAAGTTCTCCAGAGGGAATGGGGTAGCCAGGCTCCCTCCCTTTATGTGTCTTGGAAAAATACTCCTAAAAAAAGAAAAGTAGGGCAATTTCTGCCTCCTGCCTAAACTGCTGTAATCCTGGATGAGGTAAGGCTGCAAAAGACAGGATCACAAAGGGCCACAGGAACATTAAATGGTAGTGTCACCACGCCGATTGGAAGAGCCAGCAGTGATGGGAACCACGGCAATACAGGCTCTGTGTTCAGGTCTGGGAGGGCTTGATGTCTCCCAGTCTCCTGGGAAGAAAGCTTCTTCGGGCATTCATTGTGGGTCCCTTTACCCCTGCCTGGTGGCACTGATCTACCTCAGCCAGCACAGTGGGGGTCAGACACCTCCTCTGCAAAAACAAGTGAAAGTGCACTTGAAAAATGTTTGCATCTTGAACAAGGTACTTCTTTTTGGTTTGAATTAATCTTCTGTAATGGGTAGGGGCCATAGGCTGTGTATATTTTATTTCAGTGGGATATGAGGAAATGAGGTCTCTTTTTTTTTCCCCAATAATTGTTTATTTCATTTTAAAATAGGTACGGCTGAAGATCCATAAGACAGTTTCATTTCAAGCACACACGGAGCTGCTGTTTTTCCTAAGCAGCAGTGTCCGAGGAGCCAGGGCACAGGGTTGGGGGGCTGTGAAGTTTTCCACCATGGATATTTTCCAGCTGGCACAGGACAAGACTCTGTGTCTGCACCTTACTTGTACCAGCTGTCTGGCTGTGGCCTTCCTTTCCCCTCTTTCCCAGCTTGAGTTCAAGTTTCTAAAGCTTAAAATTAAAAAAAAAAAAAGAAGTGCACATTCTTTTTGTATGCTTCCTCCAAGGAATAAGGGCATGCCTCTGTCTTTCTTTTGCAAGTCAAGTTTAAGCCCCTTTTTAAGTCTCAAGTGAGAGTGTGTGCTAAAGATGGAAACAGGAGGCCTACAGTTTTTCATTCTGTGACCTGGGAAACAAATAGGTGAAAGGATTTGGTTTCATTTCTTTTTTTAAATGATTGGCCTTGGGCATCTTTCCAAAATCTATTTCCATGATTCAGGAGGGCTGGAGGAGATAATAACAGTTACCAGGTATAGGATTGTCTCTATAAAGCAGGAAATCAAATGTAAAAATCTGTGGCAAAAGTTATTATTTATTTTAAACGACGGTATTTCTTCTTGAACAGCACTTATTTTCTTCCTGTGGGTTTATAAAAAAAAATTATAAGGGTTAAAATGTCTTCTCTAAACTTGAATGTAATTGAAATTAATTTATGGAGCAAAACACTGGTGGGAATTATGTGTAATTAAAACTTGTGATTTGACATGATTTTTGAGACGTGAGTACGTTCCAACTAATTAATGTATTACAAGACTGGAAAAACTCTGTGATAAGAATTCATTACTGCTCTGCCAAGAAAAGGACGTGATTTTTTTCAAGAATCAGTTCCTAATCAATGCCATTTTCAGATTCTGCTTGCGATATTTAGATTGCAAACACCACTGACAAATGCCTGCTAAAAGAAAAGCCTTTTCACTGGAATACAAAAAAGTCTCTGGAGCCCTTCTGTTTAATAACGAGTTATTTTCTTGCGATGTTTTTCCCGACATCAAAAATGTGGGCCATCCATAAGCTGCAAAACTTGCACCTGCAGAGTCAACTTTCTTGAACAGATTCTCCACGGGATCCGAGGAAACCAAACCACGGGAAGGTGTGGTGGGCAGGCGGTGGCTCACGTGGTCCCCCAGGCTCCAGCTTGGGATTTCCGACAGACCAGAACCAGCAGGACTTGTTTAGCGCTTGTTCCACTGCTGATCACGCTGCGGTAAGAGATGAAGTATTAACTGGCCGTGGGCCTGGAAATGGGAGCTCTGGAGTAGAGAGAGGTTGTTTAATTTTTACCATAAAATATCAGGATGCAGCTGGCAAAAAAAATAGGGAAACGGGTGAAAAAAAAAAAAAAAAAAAAAAAAAAAAAAAGAAGAATTTTGGACCAGGTTTGTATTTCTGCCCATGGACTGGCATTCTCCTGGCAGGCTTATTGCCTGCTCCTCAATACAGCCCAGCTTTTGGTGACCTCATGGTTTGTATGTAAGGGTACTGGTCACCTAAAACCACAGGAGAGAGTTCAGAGCTTACAGGGGCTTCATGCACCTGGCGAGCTGCTTGAACAGTGCTGCTAAAAGTCTCACCGTCCTTTTCCCGGCTGTGAGGTCCTGCGTGGCTGGTGGCTCTCTGTGAGCCAGGTCAGCTCACTCACCCTGCAGAAACCATCTCCTTTCTTCACCTCGCTGGGCTGGCTCGCTGACCTGAGCCGACCGAGTGTCCCCACATGGGGATAAGATGGGCATCTGGTGGCACAAGGACTGTCCTAAGGTCAGCTAGAAGCCCAGACATGTGTCTGACTATAAAACTTGATCTAAGGACTGATTTTTTTTCTTTCCATCGACTGTTTGCTATAAACAGTGCTGGAAGGATAGACTGGGACCAAAAGACTTCTGAAAGCAAATTGGTCTCCCCTTGGGATCTCTCCTTCCCACCCACTTTATGCAGAATCACTGGTTACTTGTAGAGAAAATTTTGACCTGATAACACTGGGGTGCAGATGATGAGACCGAGCTGCCTTTCAGTTTGCCCTTTTGTTACTGTCCTCTGAAGCTTGGCCTTTTTCTTGCTTAAATTTGTTTATTCCCTTTGGAGAAATCAGCTGGACTGTGTTAGCAGCTAGCCCAAAGGAGAGAGAGGCTAATTGCCATAATTATTATTGGAGAGCCAAGCTGGAAGATTTACAACCTGAGGCCACTTCAGGAGAAAAAGACAGAGGAACATTTCGTGCTCTGGATTCTCAGCAGTTTGAGAAATCCTGTGTTTAAAATGGTTCTGGGATGGAATTGGAGACATCAGTGAATAAACAGTGATTCCATATATTTTTGTATGTGGGTTTAGTTTGGCTTTTTTTTTTTTTTTTTTACTGATTTGGGAGTGAAGGATGGCTATTCTCTGCCTGTAAAAGAGGGAGAGAAGGAAATAAGAGGTTCCCCTGGCAGATGGGAGATGTTTCAACCTGTTGAAGCTGGGAGAAGTGTAGAGGCACCCTGGCTGAAGTATTACAAGTTGAGTAATACAAGTATTACAAGTTTGAGTTATACAAGAAGGCAGCACTGGCAAATACATCACTGCATATTAAGCAGTCATGACCATTTAGAAAGGATCCTTGCCCTCTTGTCATGTGGTAAATCTGTTCAGAGCATATGTAGCCAATCTGGCCCCTTAGGCTGCATATAAAAGTATTTTTGAAACATGCTGAACCAGTCTCTGGGGTCTGGGCCCCCTGAGCATCCTGTCAATGCCTCTTTGGCATGTACCGTCTCCCATGCAAAGCTCTTGCCAGGTGCCCCCTGTGTGGAAGTCGAGCTGTGTGGTGGGTACATATCACAGGTTTACTCTGATAAGAACATAAAATATCACCCAGGCATTTCCCTTGACCTGGAAAGTGTTTAAGGGTACTGCCCTACATGAAAGCTACACAAGCCTACAGTCTCTGATTATGTTCCCTTTGTGATTCCCAATTTTGGGTACCCACAAAAGCAGAATTATTGGCACCTCAGGAACTTCCAGGCATAACATATGGACCCTAAAAAAACAGTTAGGTGGCTGCTGAGTAGGTTTCTTATTTAATCCAAATCCCATTTTTTTTTTTTTAGTTAGACCCCTACAGTTTGTCCAAGTCTTTGAGGGAGAAAGTGCATTTAACAGTATAAATCTGCAGTAGCGTTTTGACTGCTAACGGGCTCGGGCATCGGTGCCAGGGGAATTTGTGTCAGTTCACAAGGTAACGATGAGGGGGATGGTGTTCAGCAGCAGAATCCGATGTATCGTAGCGGCAGGAGAGTTTTGCATGAACACAGAGGAATGGCTCCAGCGGACCACTAATGCACAGTGGTCTCCTGGGTTCCGTGTTGACAGTGTCAACAAAATATTTGTTGACAGTTTGCAAAGTAGAGCTACTGTAAAGGAATGACTAAACAGGTGGTTCTAGCACTGGCTGTTGTACATGAAGTCAATGTGTCACTGTCATGGCACTAATACCTTCAACATGAAAAGTGGCCTGTGGCCATTGATAAAGGAGCCAATTTCTGTACTTTGCTAGATCACATTGGGAAAAATAGAAATGATTGATTTAA